GAGGTTCGATTCCCGGTCAGGGCACATGCCCGGGTTGCAGGCTTGATCCCCAGTTGGGGGTGTGCAGGAGGCAGCCAATCAATGACTCATCACTGATGTTTCTATCTCTCTCTCCCTCTCCCTTCCTCTCTCCGAAATCAATAAAGATATATTTAAAAAAAGAAAAAAATATATATCTTTATTGATTTCGGAGAGAGGAAGGGAGAGGGAGAGAGAGATAGAAACATCAGTGATGAGTCATTGATTGGCTGCCTCCTGCACACCCCCAACTGGGGATCAAGCCTGCAACCCGGGCATGTGCCCTGACCGGGAATCGAACCTCAGTCTCTTTGATCCTAGGTCAATGCTCAACTACTGAGCCCTACTGGCTGGGCCTCAAGAAGATTTTAAGTGGGATAGTGATGTGGCTGAAGCTGTTTGTGTTAAAGCATACTCAGAATTGTAATGGTAATAGTCCTGGAAAATGTGACAAACCCATTGGTGATATGTATCAGGAACTGATGCTTGTGGAAGAAGCTTAGGCTGGAGTCAGAGATCACGGATAAATTAGCCTGTAGCTATCATGTGAATGGAGGTCACCAAGGGAGAATGTGTGGAGTGGATAATCAATTGGCTAAAGATGAAATGGCACACAAGAATGTAAGGGGTATTATGTAGGAAAGAAATGTCTATGAAAGAGACAAGTGGGAATGATCGATCATAGATGTGTTTGGTAATAAGTACCAGGCTGAAGGCTTTCTCCTGGAAAAGTCATGGAAAGGCTCTCTGGAGGGGCAAAGAGCTGGGCGTTGGGAAAGGAGTATAAGCTCATTACTTTAACAAGGTAGGAAAAGCACTATGTGCAGTGAGAATAGCAAGTCCCAACAGTGAGGCTAACATACATGACACATAAGGGAATGATATAACACAATGTGATTAATGTCCCAGTAAAATATTGTAATAGAGAGGCCTGTAGTGTTTGAGAGGGGTCATTGGATAGGCAGAAATGGTGCTGTCTTCCAGTTGGGTGAGTCAGCAGAAGCACAAACTGGGACTGGGTGGCAAGAAGGGAGATGAGTAATGACCAGGCTTCAGCTGAAAGCTCCTTCGGGATAGTTCATTATGTGTTTATTGATAACTTAGGGATGTGGCTGGACTGAAAGTTACTTCCCTGTTGTGGTGAATTTCAAAAAGATAGTGAGCCTATTTCAGTCACAGTAAAACTATATACCAACTTGAATAATATGATATCTGGTTGTGCTGTTAGAGAGAAATATAATCAATGCTTTTGCTTTTTTTTTTAAAGGATTTTCCAGAAAAGGAGAAGTCCACAGCAAAGGCCCTGGGGGACGTAAAGGCAAACTTCTACTGCGAATTATGTGACAAGCAGTATCACAAGCACCAGGAATTTGATAATCACATTAATTCTTATGATCATGCTCATAAGCAGGTAAGCAAAAGTGGGAGAAGTCCTTCATATTCCTGGATTATACCTTCAGAACAGAAAGTATCCATTTGGCTTTATTTATTATCCTCTAAGATGCCACGGTGAAACTATTTTATCTCTTCTTTTTTCCTAGAAGGTTGTGTTTTCTGTTTAAATATTAGTGATATATTTTTTCCTAGAAGTCACATAAAACCATAGGTGAGCTTAGAGGTGATCTAAGAGCAGATTGACATTTATTTTAGAATTAAGTATATGGGGAAACCAGAACCCAATAAAAATAATGTTGTATTCAAAACCACCTAGCTAGTGGCAGAACTGTAACGCTGGGCAGAAGAGGACAGAACCTGTTCCAGAGTTCCTTTAAGAGTTCTACAGTGTAGGAACAGGGAATAGTAGGTCTTCGGAAAAACCATTCAGAATGAAAGGTTACATATTCCCAAGAATACTCTATTAGGAGAGTCAAAGTGATTACTTAATAAACGAACCATTACAAAGAGACAAAAACTCAGGCAAAGCTGATGCAGGTGGAGACGTTTCATTTCTTTTTCTCTGTGTGTGTGTGTGTGTGTGTGTGTGTGTGTGTGTTTGCATGCACATGCTCTTGTGTAATAGTGTAGATCCTACACATGGCTGCTAATATTCTCTATTTTACAATGTCTGTGAAAGAGGAGGCTATTGTCTCCATCCTGTTAGATTTTATTTTGGCCGTATGAAGTATGGAAATATTGGCATTTAGGAATTAGGAGTGTTAAGTAGTACCATTAAGAAAGAAAGTCCACATGGTCAGCAGATTATTGCTAACAGCTGTGATAAGGTGTGCACCCCCTGAGGTCAAATGGACCAGATATTGGAATATATGGGTAAGTTTTGTATAATCTAGAGCTAAAATATTTATTCACAGTGAACTACAATAAATATTTTGACTAGCTAGCATCACTAATAGTTGTTGAATACATACAAAATATATGGCCATCGGAGATCAAGACACAGTTTCTGTCTTTAAAGATACTGCATATGTGTGTAATTGATGGCATTTCACTGAAAAGAGCAAGAGCAATGGGATAAATTGTTTTAGAATTGTGATTCCCAAACCTTAGTGTGCGTAATAATCACTTTGTTACTTGCTAATAATGCATATTCCTAGAATCTCAGATATTCTAATTCAGTAGCTCTGAGATGGGGCCCAGGAACATGCATTTTAAAATAAGATAAAATGGAATTTTTCAAACATATATAAAAATAAACTATGAGGCTACCATCCAACTCCAACAATAATACATTTTTTTTCATTTTTACCACCACTCACCCTTTCTTCCCCTCACTACCATGCATTATTTTGAATCACGTTTCAGACATTATATCATTTCATCTGAAAGTATTTCTAGATACATATGATGCTTAAGGGAAAATAGTTGTTTCATATCTAAAAATTAACAGTAATTTCTAATATCAGTTAGGGTCTTGTTTTCTTGGTTGCCTCATAAATGATGTATGAATTTGGGTCAGTTGAAATCAGGACCCAAAAATATCTATATTTTTGGTTGACATATCTTTATGTCTCTTTTAATAAACAGTGGGTCCTCAAACAGCATGAGTTTAAACTGTGCAGATCCAATTATATGCAGATTTTAAATATCTATCTATCTATATATAGATATATATAGGAGGATTTTTTTGGAAATTTAGGACAATTTGAAAAAACTCACAGTTGACCCATGTAGCTTAGAAATGTTGAAAAATTAAGAGAAAGTTATGTCATGAATGTATATTTGCAGATACTAGTCTACTTTATCATTTACTGCCATAAAATAGACATGAATCTATTATTAAAAAGTTAAAAGTTATTAAAGCATGCACAAATCACAGACCGTACAGTTGACAGAAGTGTGAACAAATGAAAAGATGCGGTATTAAATCATAACTGCAAAAAATGTAACACAGTAATACAGACTGTGTAGTGCTGTAATAATTTTGTAGCCACCTCCTGTTGCTATTGTAGTGTTTAAAATGCCTTGTGACGTTAACCATCTCTGCGCGAGTAGTTCTCAGCAGTAAATGGTGTATGTAGTAAAAAGGGATCACTCACAGTTCTTGCATATATTTCATCATGTTTAGTGCGATGCCGTAAACCTTGAGTAACACCAGAGGACCCATGAGAAGTGCTTCTAGTGGTTCTGAAAGTGCTTCCAAGCAGCAAAGTCTTGATATTACAAGACAAATTTGAATTGCTTGATATGTAACATAGGTTGAGGTCTGCAGCTGTGGTTGCCCACCATTTCAAGATAAATGAATCGAGCCTAAGGACCATGGTAAATAAAGAAAATATATGAAGCTGCCACAGCAGCTACCCCAGCAGGCGTGAAAACCCTGCCCTTTTTGCAAAATTCATTTTAATCTCATATTAAAAATGCAGCTTTTATGTGGGTGCAGGGTTGTTATAAGAAAAGTATACCTATAGACTTAAATATGCTTAGAAATAAAACAAAGTCATTATATGACAACTTAAAGCAAAAGGAAGGTAAAAGATGTAAAGCTGGAGAACTTTATGCCAGCAAAGAATGGTTTGATACCTTTAGAAAGGGGTTTAGCCTAAAAAAATGTCAAGATAACGGGAGAAGCAGCTTCTGCTGACCAAGAAGCAGCAGAGAAGTTCCCAGATACCATTAAGAAAATCAGCGAGGGCCTGACCGGGTGTGGCTCAAGGCATCGGCCTAGGATCCAGGAGATCACAGTTTGATTCCCGGTCAGGGCACATGCCCAGGTTGCGGGCTCGATCCCCAGCAGGGGCCGTGCAGGAGGCAGCCGATCAATAACTCTCTCACCATTGATGTTTCTCTCTCTCTCCCTCTCCCTTCCTCTTTCTGAAGTCAATAAAGATACATTTTTTTTAAAAAAATCAATGAGAGAAAAGGATATTTGCCTGACCAGGTGTTTAATGCAAACGAAAATCCCCTCTTCTGTGGGGGGAACAATGTCACAAAGGACATTTGTCAGTAAGGAAGAGAAGTGGAGAAGTGAGCACAGGATTTAAGGCAGGAGGGGGTAGGCAACCTCTACCGCCTGTGTTTATCATCAGGATTGCCCTTGTCTATAAGCCTGTGTTTATCATCAGGATTGCCCTTGTCTATAAAGCTGCTCACCCAGGAGCCTTAAAGGCAAAGAATGAACACCAGCTGCCAGTCTCCTGGTTGTACAAGGTGGTATAGACAGTGAGAATCCTTTCTCTGGATTGGTTCCATTGATGCTTTGTCCCTGAAGTCAGAAATTACCTTGTCAGTAAGCGACTGCCTTTAAAGTAATTTTGATATTGGATGGTGCTTGGGGCCAGGCAGAACTCCAGGAGTTCAACATCAAAGGGTCAAAGTGCTCTACCTGTCCCCAAAGTGTCTCTAATCCAGCCTCTAGATCGGGGGGTCATAAGGACATTTTAGCCTCATTACACGTGGTACTCTAAGGAAAGGGCTGTCAACACTATGGAAAAGAACCCTGAAGGAGAGAATATCATGAATGTGTGGAAGGATCACACCACTGAAGTTGCCATTGTTGGTATAGAAAAAGCCACGGAAGCCATCAAGCCTGAAACAGTCCATTCTTGCTGCAAAAGCTGTGCCCAGATGTTGTATATGACTTCACATAATTTAGGACATAGCCAGTCCGGGGAATCATAAAGGAGATTGCAGACATTACAAAAAAGAAAGTCGGGGGTGAAGAGTTTCAAGATGTGGATCTTGGAGAAGCTGAGAAATGTGAAAGCTAATAGACACCACACCAGAGGAATTAACAGGAGATGACTTGACGAAGAAGAGGGCTTGCGAACCAGCACCAGGTGATGAGGAAGACGACGCAGGAGAGGCGTTCCAGAGGACAGCCTACCTTAGGCAGCCTGGGGGAAGGTCCCGTTACTCAAGACTGTGACTTTGACTCCTTTTACGACGTGGACCCTTCCCTGATACAGGCACTGCAGCTAAAACAAACAATTAAAGAAGGATTGGTACCATGTAGAAACAGTTTTAGATAAATTAAAAAACAATACAGTGAGACAGAACTGACGATGTATTTCCATAAGGTTGCCCGGAGTCCGCCCGCCTCGGCTGCGTGCCCTGCCACCTCCACCTCCGCTGCCCCTGAGGCAGCAAGGGCGGCCCTTGCCCTTCCCGCTCAGCCTGCCAAGGCGAAGGCAATGAGAGTGGAACCCTTTGTGATGACCCCCTTCCACTTAATGAACAGTAAATCATCATCATGCCCTACAGTCAGTAAACGTACCTGTTGTGTGTTTGTGTAAAATCTGGTAACTGGACAGCAACACCTGTATGAGATGTTTTTGTGTCATCACGATCATGATGATCATCGCTTACGTTTCTCACAAGATGCCTCACTCTTTCCCACCTGCTCATCTTGGTCGAGAATTTTTCCTCTGCCTAGGATGCCCTCCCATCTTCTGTGTATTTAATGCTTAGGTTGGTAATTTATATGTGGATATTAAAAGAGCTGAGATCTCGTGGTAAGCTGATTTAAATTCCCTTTGATCAAACCTATTAATGTGCAGAATTTTGTATATGATGCCAACTTTGGAAGACATTGGAATAATTAAATTTGCTGTAGACCCTATAAATACTGCTTTCATGGATGATATTGAAATACTTCTGTCTAAAGATTTATTTTGGCACAAAATATTTTGAAAATTACCTGAATTTTAAGTGGAGCTGAGTGTACAATTTCCCTTTTAAATGAAACTGAATTTTATGTATAGGAAAAGAAAATATGCACGAAAATAAAGCATGTGAAAGTCCTTTTTTTTCTTTTCAAATTCCAAAGCTAAGTATGTCTATTTGGTCCTTGCTTCAGTAAAGGCTCTTCTTAGTTGCGATGATGATGATAATGATGGCGGTGGGGACTTGGATGAGGGTATTTTTGGCCTAAGTAATATGAACAGTCTCCTTAATTTTATTTTCCATGTGGATTCAGATGAAATACTTGGCCTCTTCTGTTGAACTTCCAACAAT